TAGGTAATAATTCTGCAAAAGCTATTGGAAGTAACCTTTGCATAAAAACATGACAATCATGACTCTTCATTCCAGAAAGTTTTCCTCCATTGAAATCAACCGAAGAAGATATATTCGATGAATAACCATCAGAAAACTTAACTTCTTTTTTCAACCAATTAAATAGACATGTCTTGGATTCTGGAGATAGTCTAAATAATGGAAATGGAGCTTTTCCCTCATCAGTAATATGCAGGTCTTTCCGATTACAAATATCAGCCAAATCAAGACGGGATTTAACATTGTCTTTGGTTTTCCCTTGCACATCTAGCACTGTATTGATGATATTATCAAAAAAATTCTTCTCAATGTGCATCACATCAAGATTGTGACGAAGAAGAAGATCTTTCCAATAAGGTAACTCCCAAAATATACTCTGCTTATGCCAATTATGTTTTTCCCCGTATCCCACTATTTTTGGATGCCCTTCTCCACCACAGCTAGCAGTCTTTGGTAAACCCATCACATGGTCACTCCATAAATCTTTGCCTGAATATATTTTTGGAGGATCAGAATTAACTACTCTATTTTTCCTGAAGTTTTTCTTGTTACGGCGTAGAGTATGATCTTTTGGAAGAAAACGACGGTGACAATCAAACCAACATGTTTTCCTTCCATGCTTCAACCAAAAAGCTTCAGTATCGTCCATACAATAAGGACATGCTAAACGACCATGAGTTGTCCATCCCGATAACATAGCATAAGCGGGAAAATCACTGATTGTCCATAAAAGCATAGCTCGTAATGTAAAGTTCTGCTTCATCGATACATCATATGACTCAACTCCATCAGTCCATAAGCCATTAAGCTCCTCTATGAGAGGCTGTAAAAACACATCCAAACTTCTTTTTGGATGGTTTGGACCAGGAATTAATATTGTGAGAAACAAAAACTCACGTTTCATACACATGTCAGGTGGTAAATTATATGGAGTAAGAATGACTGGCCACAACGAATAATTTTGACCAGACATACCAAAAGGATTAAATCCATCCGTGCACAAACCAAGATAGACATTTCTAGATTCATTGGCAAAATCAGGATATACCTGGTTAAAGTGTTTCCATGCTTCACCATCTGATGGATGACTCATTACGTTGCTAGCCTGAGTTGAATAATGTTCTTTGTGCCACCTCATATGTGAAGCTGTCTTATTCGACTGATATAATCTTTTCAGTCTATCAGCTATTGGCAGATAAAACATTTGTCGAAAAGGAACTTGTTTTCTTCCTGGCTTCTTTGTACTTTTGAATCTGGCAGCTCCACAAAATTTACAGCATTCTAGGTCTGCGTCGTTTTTCCAGAAGATCATACAATTATTCTGACACACATCTATCTTTTTGTAAGGCATCCCCAAAGACCGCATCAGTTTCTTTGTGTCATAGTATGAAGCAGTTGCATTGTTATCTGCGGGCATGTAGTCTTTCAACATTTGAGCAATATAATCCATGCACTTCTCAGACAAGTTATAATCTGTTTTCAAAGTCATACATCGAGCCGCCAATGAGAGCTGTGAGTGTCCTTCTCTACATCCCTCATATATTGGATTTTTGCTTGCATTTAATAGACTGAAAAATTTGTTGGCTTCTTCGTTAGGATCTTCTTCAATGCTTACATGAGATGATGTATGGTTATTAAAGGCATCACTTATCATCTCAGCATAAGAGTTTTGAGCTTCCGTGGAAACATCTATGGGCGTGTTTGTATTTTCTTGAGCATGTCCTGGTTGATTGTCAATCTCATAGTCTTCTCCATGTGCAACCCAAACAAGATAATTAGCCATAAATCCTCTGTTATATAAATGGCCAATGACTGTTTGCTCATCAAGAAATTTTCTATTCTCACACTTCATACATGGGCAAAACATTTTCTGCTTTTGAGTAAATAAAACATGGTTTTTAGCAACAACCATGAAATATTTCAATCCTTCTGTAAATGCAGTAGAGACTTGATTGGTATTGGGATCAATTCTTGCATACATCCATTGCCTCATAGCATGATTAGCATTACTCGAAGACATTTAGAATTCAAAAAAATCTGCAACCAACCAATCTAGGACTTGAATAAATCATTAACTCAGTGCATAAGTACATATATACCAGAAACGTTTCAACAAATACTTACCTGAGTTTTTCTTTTGAATAATTTATTTGGTATCAACAGAGGCTCCCGAACACCTATATCACATAGTCAACAAGATAAGGGGTTAGTTATCTGAGCCGTTAAAAATTGTCTAGATTTAGACTTCTGAAACTCTAGTTGAATAGCATAAATAAAGATACACATATATCAGATTTATCATACCGAGTGTGAGAAGAATCTATGACAAGTAGACGTAAGTCAGTGTTTCCGAGCCGTTTAATCAAGGAAGAAACAGGAACAGTATCTGTTTTGTTACAGGATAAAAACAGAGGTTAAACAAATAATTTAAAACTCAAACCTTAAAAGATTTAAACTACAAAGCTAATAAAGCCAGAGAAAACATAATAGAAAAGAGATAGAAGGAGTCAAGTTACTTACGAGAGTTAAACAGAGGATTTAGAGAGAGATTAAGACAGAAAGTTTAACGTCTCTGTTTTGCTATACTCTGTTTCATGATAAATACAGGGTCATTAAGTTTTTCGGTTGGAGACAAAAAGTGGAGAGAGAGAGAGAGAGAGAGAGAGAGAGAGAGAGAGAGAGAGAGAGAGAGAGAGAGAGAGAGAGAGAGAGAGAGAGAGAGAGAGAGAGNTAGAGAGAGATTAAGACAGAAAGTTTAACGTCTCTGTTTTGCTATACTCTGTTTCATGATAAATACAGGGTCATTAAGTTTTTCGGTTGGAGACAAAAAGTGGAGAGAGAGAGAGAGAGAGAGAGAGAGAGAGAGAGAGAGAGAGAGAGAGAGAGAGAGAGAGAGAGAGAGAGAGAGAGAGAGAGAGAGAGAGAGAGAGATTTTGGGGATATACTGATCTGGTTTTTGATCGTTAGGGGTCGTTACCTTTTTGATCTGGAAGAAGGTGTCTGGTTTTGATCGCTAAGGGTCGTTAAGTTTTTGTCATAGAGGAAGTTACGTGTCTGTTTTTTTTGTTTACTTATTCCTTTTTTTTTTGTTTATCTGAGTTAAGGAAAAAAGTAAGAAGAGGTAAAGAAGTTACGTATATTGTAAGAGTTAATTTGTAGTTATCTTTGAGAGAATATGTAAATAATTGTTTTTTTTGTCTAATTTCCTTTTATTTTGAATTAGGGATAAATAAACTATAATAAAATAAAACTATTAACAAAATCTCAAGAATCTGAAATCTTAAAAATATATGGTCCATGTTTAAATATACAATATAAATATATATTAATTTTTTTGTATATAATATATGAAAATTGTTAACCTTTTCTATTGAAATTAAAATATATAATCATCGTCACATTTTTTGCCACAATTTTTCCCTTTTTTTATTTTTGCAAATTAGCAATGATTCAAAAATGTTGAATGTTTCTTGCAAAATTCGCAAGATACTTATTTATGTTGCAGAAGATTGCAATTTAGTGATGAAAATATGCAACGTCTGTTATAGTTGAAATTTTGCAATAAATTTGTAACGAAACTGTAACAAATATTTATTATTGCAAAAATATTGCAATAATCATAGCAAATTATTAACGAAAATAGACGTTGCAATTTTTCTGTTGC